CGGCAGCTGAAGGGAATATTCTAGCATCAGGGAGGGCCTGGCAGGAGCCTGTGGGCGTGGAGCAGGTTGGGTCAGCTTCGGGGTTTTCAGGCCCCCATGCCCTGGTGCTGGCAGCACCTGGCTGCCATGTCGTGTGTGGGCAGAGGGGCCAGCATGGGGCACACGACCCCCAGCCCTGGGTCTCCACTGCCTCGGAACTGCACAGTGGCAAATGGCACAGTGAGAACATGGTTTGTGCCCGGAATACCGTCATTTCCCCAGGCAGGGACACCCATACTGGAGACTTCTACTGGAACCCAGAAGCTCCGGGACCACACAGCCATGATTGCTGTGGGTGAAGGTCTGTCCTTGAGACTGCTTTGAGTCACCCCACCACCCCCCACCATGCACAGTTAGTGGGCCCCTGGGTCTGTGCTCAAGGGGCCAGGCGCAGCCCATGGGCCATCCACATGTGCCATCAGCACAGCAACAAGTCGGTGTCTGTGCACACAGTCAGCCCAAAGGAGCAAGGTGGGAGACACATGCCCACAGGGGCCAGGAGGGGCAGAGTACAACTGTTCAGCATGTGACCTGCTCTGGGGGACAGGCTGACAAGGACAGGCACCCTTTCAATGATGTGTTTTTAAAATGTCTTACTCACTTTCATTTTACTGGAAAGGCAGAGAGAGAATGCACTTCCATCCACAGATTCACTCCCCAGATGCGTGCAGTAGCGCAGCAGCCCTAACAGGAGTCCAGAGCTCACGCTGCGCCTCCCATGCGGTGGCAGCAGCCAAGTCCTCGAGCCATGGCCTGGTGCCCCTTGGGATGTGTGTTAGTAGGGAGCCGGCTCAGCAGCAAGCACCCGGACCTTAGCAGGTGCTCCAGCAGGGATGCCAGCTTCCCAAACAGCTGCTGGGCCCTCTGTGCTGTTCCTCCCAAGGCCATCCTTCTAAAGACAAATACATCCTGGGTGGGCAGGGCAGGGAAGCAAGCCTGGGCTTTCAGGCACCACAACAAGAGCCAGCCCTGTCACCGTGTAGAGACCAGCCCCTTGAAAACTGGGACTAAAGATGCACAAACTAGGAGGAATGAAGCAGCAAAGATTAGTAGAACAGATAACCATGTTGGGACAGCCACCATGTCACCACAGCAGACAGCCACCCTGATAGCCACCATGTCACCACAGCAGATGGCCACACCAGGACTGCCACCATGTCACCACAGCAGACAGCCATACCGGGACTGCCGCCACATTGCCACAGCAGACAGCCACACTGGGACAGAAGCCACGTTGCCACAGCAGATGGCCACACTGGGACAGCCACCATGTCACCACAGCAGATGGCCACACCGGGACAGCCACCACGTCACCACAGCAGATGGCCACACTGGGACAGAAGCCACGTCACCACAGCAGATGGCCACACCGGGACAGCCACCACGTCACCACAGCAGACAGCCACACTGGGACAGCCACGACGTCACCACAGCAGACAGCCACACTAGGACAGAAGCCACGTCACCACAGCAGATGGCCACACTGGGACAGAAGCCACGTCACCACAGCAGACGGCCACACTGGGAAGGCCTTGCCACTGCTGCTGGAGGTGGCTGATGATCAGCTGCCCGAGGATGCTCTCAAGCCCTTCCCAGGCCTTCCCTCCCACTGAGACCCCTCTAGCCCATCATGAGGGGCTTGACCACATGAACCACCACACCTGCAGCATCCCCAAACCAGCTGAGTGTTCTCACCCTCAAGACTCAAAATTGTCTCAATGCTGGGACAAGCGGATGGTTCCACACTTGATCCCACAATGAAAACAAAACCTAAGTGCTCCATGATTTAGGTTGCATGATTTCATGGTTAGAAGGTAAGTTATATGGGGCTGCTGCTGTAGAACAGTGCATAAAACTACTGCCTGTTGAGCTGACATCCCATACGACAGTTCTAGTCCTGGCTTCTCCACTTTCAATCCTGCTCCCTCTTTTTTTTTTTAAGATTTATTTTATTTTCATTGGAAAGGCGGATATACAGAGAGGAGAGACAGAGAGGAAGATCGCAACAGCCGATGCTATGCCGGTCCGAAGCCATGAGCCTCTTCCGGGTCTCCCACACAGGTGCAAGCACAAAGAAAGTTCTAGAAGATCACAGATTCATGTGGAGATGGGAGCAGGTCGTGGCATGTGGCTAAGCAGGAGTGGCACGTGGCATGCTGCACACTTTGGTGTTATTCCAGCTCGTCACACTGGCTAGGCATTGAGTTGGCCTCTCTTTATTTACTGGAAAGGTGGAGAGAAGAGAGAGCTCTCACCTGCTGGTACACTCCCCTGGATGCAGCAGCTGGGACTGGACCAGGCCAAAGCCAGGAGACCTGAACTCGGTGGGGGCAGGGACCCAACAACTTGAGCCGCCACCTGCTGCCCCTGGGGCATGGGCTGGCAGGGAGCAAGCACTCAGAGCCAGGCACATGCTCTGTGACAGAGGGGATGCCGAGGCAGCCAAGCACCTGCTCAGCATGCCAGACACCCCTGCTCTCAAGTTTATGCTACTTTTAAGTGAAAAGAAAACTCACAGATAAAAACGAACGACAACCTCGGGAGTTATTTCCATGCCAGTCTCAACGGTTTAAGCCTTACAACATTTCTGGATGATGCTCAGGTTTGCCGAGTCCCGGTGGCTCGGACCTGGAGCCACAGCCCATGCAAGATTGTCCGGGTACCGAATGCCTCCTGCTTGGCAGCTGCAGTGTGGAGTGTGCTGTGAGCACCAGGGGCCAGCAGTCCCACTGAGCTGGGGGACAGGCCCACAGGGGCAGCAGCAGGTTCAGGAACCCAGGTGGCCAGGCTCCATCCAGATATGTCCACCCTGGGTGGCACCTCCCGCTATGCCACTTTGGATCCCTGTGAGCTGAAGGTAGCATGCAGTGGCAAACTTGGGGGAGCCCGACACGCCTCCAGGGGCTCAGTGCAAGTCACATGTCCTGAGAAGTGTCTGCTCTCCCCTCTGTACCAGGAAGGGCAGCAAGGAGCTGCCGAGGCACTGGGACATCCACAGGGCAAGCCCGCCTGCCTCAGCCTCCATTCAGCCCCCAGGCATCTGCCTCTCTTCCACCTTCCACTGCCGAGAAGCCACAGTCCTTCCCCTCTCTGCAGGTGCACGGCTCCTCAGGGTCACTTGCCACCCACCGCCCAACTTTTCAGCATCCCCCGAGCCCACAGGAGGCAGGAAGGGGTGCTAAGCACCCAGGTCATGGCCCAGGACAGACAGGAAGGAGCTAGGCCCACCCTGGGAGACAAGGCGGAATCTCACCACTGGGTCAGATACCACAGGGCAACTTACTAAGGGACAGACAGTTGCTGCAATGCAAAACGAGGCTCAGAGAAGTCTAGCAGCTGCCTGATCACACAGCTGGGGAAGGGGCACCAAGTTAACCACAGCAGAATCCTGCAGCCCCTTTTTCTCGGGTTGCTTTGTCCCTGGATGAGAACACAAACCCGACCTCACCAAACACACTTCACTTTGCAAGTGATTGCTCCAACACATCACACGCACGGAGGGATGGGGAAATCACCCCAGGACCCCTTGGTGGGGGACAGCTCGAGGTGGTACAGCTGCCTGCTAGTCCCCCCACACCCCATGGCAGCCACAGCCCAGCTGCACGTTACCTCCTGTGCAACCAGGAGTGGGGGCTGGGGGACGGGCTTTGCATCTCAGTGGGATGCTCTGCTGTGGCCCCTGGGTTGCCATGGCAACTCTCCATCTGGGCAATTTGCACCAACTCGGGAAAGCATCTGATGATTGCACTGTTAAGGCTTCAGAGACCCTTCCTTCACTCCGCAGACACCTCCAGGTGTGGTCCAGGGGTGGTGAGCGCAACTGCTTGCTGCAACCAGACAGCTAATCCTGAAGAGGTCAGGTGGACAGCGGGCACGGGCCCCCCTCTGTGCTGCCCCCGGGGCCTGTCCCCTCTCTTTGCGTGGCAGCCTGGAAGAGGGGCTTTGCAGCAGGGCACCTGTGGACGTGCTGGGAGGCACAAGGTGTTAAACAGGCGTGTTCCAGATGGCCAGCTGGGCAGGAGCGAGCAGGCCCTGGACCAAGAACTAGGGCAGCAAGCATGGGTGGCAGGAGGACCCAGGAGCAGAGGCCCAGGTCCTACGGGGACTCCCGGGGACCCTTCTCCTCCAGCTCCCTTAGACCTGCCGTGGGGCTCTTAGCAGCAACCAGCCTCCTGCTGGATGCTTCAGTCTCAAAACAGGTGCCCTGAGCACCAGCTGTCTGTGCTTCCCCATCAGGCTTGGGGATGGTGGGGCCTCCTCCCCTGTAGCTTCCTGCTGACTCCTTGGCTCCTGGTGTGGTTTAACCCCAGTTACCTGGCCCAGGCAAGCACTTTGGCATTTTCCCGTCTGGTTGCTGGACATGCTCTGTGGACTCCCTTCTTCAAAAAATGTCAACACTTTGGCATTCAAGGCGGCGGTGAAAACCATCTCACAGCACCTGGCCCCGCACAGCACACACAGGAACACCTGTGCTTCCTTTAGCTCGGAAGCCAAACGCGGTGGGGTCTGACCTAGCAGTGGAGATACCAGCCAGGATGCCGCCCAGGGGAGGCTCCAGCTTCCTGCCAGGGCAGACCCTGGGAGGCGGCAAGGATGGCTCAAGTCCCCGGCCCCCTGCCAACCTGCCAAACACAGGGCAGACCCTGGCAGAGTCACTAACTCTCAGCTTGGGTCAAGCCCACATTACTGTGGTGTGCATCTGAAGCGTAAACCGTGGGCTCTCTCTGCCTCTCAGAGAGATTTTATAAACCAAGGTGGAGGAAAAAAAGACCACAGTGATGTTTTCAAAGGGTAAGTAGGCCCAACACTCAGAGCCTGAAGCCCCTCCACACCATCCCACCGACGGCCCACCCTCACGGCAGCAGACGTGTCCGCTCACAGCAACGCCAGGGGGTGCTTGCAAACCCTGCACAGGTGTTACACTGTGCCGGGTGCCTATAAGTTGCCTAAATTATACTCACCTCGGGGTTTAGGATTCCTCAGGATATCTTTCACAGCTTGGCGCATCCCCGACGGTGACATCAGACATGGCAATGAAGGGGACGAGAAAGGCAGCAAGGGAGGGTTCATCCATGTCACTCCAGCCCAAATGGCCCACAGGAAACTCCTAACTCAGCCCCTGGCGCGGAAGCCCATGGGGCAGCTTGCACCAGAGCCGTCCAGGTCCTCAGCCCCGGAGTCCCTGGGGTGTGTGCTCTCAGCCTAGGGTGGCACTCAGACCTGCTGCCTGGGGAAAGCACCCCAGGCCAGGCGGCCCCTGCAGCCGCGGCCCCTCCAGGCTTCTCCAGAGCCTTCAAGCATGAAGGGAGAGGCTGGGTAACGGGAGCTCCATCTGGGGGCAGGGAGGAGCTACACAGGTGGAATGGCTGCGCAGGACAAGGCAGGAAGCAAGTCAGAGACAAGACCAAACAGCTGAAGGAAGGAGAAGGATGGGGCATCCAAAGTGGGAAGTGAAGGGGGCCACAGGCAGGCCCAACAGCTCCTGCAGTGGGAACTTGACCCAGGACAGCGAGGCGGTCCTGAGGGGATGGCGGGTGCTGGGCTGGGAGAGAGCTCTGTGTGGAAGTGGTGGGGCGAGGCTCAGCTTACAGGTGCCGCCAGAGAGAAGCAGTGGGATGGGCCCCACCTTCAACTTCCTGCAGTGCCCTGGAGTCCACATACCTCGGGCCTCCTCTCTACTGTGCCCCTGAACACAGAGCGGCCTCCCGAGGCTTGGGGTGGGGAGCAAGCTGTTGCAGTCTGTACACACACAGCCCACCTGAGGCTCACCCGGCTTACCTCTGCCTGGAGCTTGCTGGCAAGAGTCCCACTGCACCTGTTCTGTGGGGTCAGGATTCGTACCTGCTTCAAGCCTCTCCTTTGCTCTCATCCAGGCTGGCGGAATGACTGCTCAGGTCCTCAGGCTGTTGTGTCCCCACGCCACGGGGCAACTCCACTGCCCGACACTTGCTCCTCTTTCTATGGACACCAGGCCAGTTGCTGATATGTCTACATTCCCTGCCCACAGGCTGGAGGGACTACCTGCCAAGGGCTCGTGTCCTGGCCAAGGGGAATGGGGGCCCCAGTCACAGCCAGTCACTGCACAGAATGTCAGAATCCATTCATTCCTATGCAATTCCACCAGCATGGGCTAACACAGATGCTTGCACCTGGCCCCACCTGGCTCCAGTCCTGGGCTGTCCACCCCCTGGGTGCACACAGTAGTCTGTGTTCCCACTCACTAACATGGGAGAGCCACCTCATAAAGTCTCCGCCTGAGCTTCGGCGCAGCTGGCAATGTGTCTTGGGTGCCCCGCTGTGGGGAACACGCATCCTCCCCGAGGTCAGACTGTCTGAAAGCCTGGAGCTGGACTTGAACCTTTCCCTAGCCCTGTGCTGCTCCTCGTACCTGCTCCCCATCCCCACCATCCCAGGAGGGCCCCGCAGCCCCTGCCTCCTGCCACCAGGTATCAGCTCTGGAAAACACCCCAGAGGCAGGTGCATCCTCCACACGGCGTCTTCCGACCACTCAGCCACGGTGCAGGGCTCAGTGCAGGGCTGGGTGCAGGGATGGGGCCAGATGTGGCCGGCAGAAGCAGAAGGATCTAGACTCTGTCCCTCCACCACACATCTGGTCACAGCCCTTGTCCCAGGTCTCCTGGGGCTGAACATAGGTCAAGTCCACAGACTTACGTCCCCATGACAAAGGGGCCTAGTGAGCACCACTGAGGCTTGGAGCTGGGCTGGGGTCACTGGCTAGGGCACCTCAGCCTCGGAGCAGAGCTAACTCTGCACCCCCAATCCTTAACGAGGCCTCCCGGCTGACCTCCTTTGCTGGTTTTTCTCAGGCACACTCACAACTCACTAAGGAGCAGGGAACAGGGGAGCCTGGAAGGAGGACAGCCTGTCACAGGGAGCAGGCCACAGGAGGTCCCTCCGTCCTCGGCAGGGAGAGCTCCCATCCGTTGGTTCACTCCCCAGATGCCTGCACGGGCACCAGCTGCCAGGGACTGCATCCAGGTCTCCTTCAGCTGCCACTGCTGCTTCTGGGGTCTGCAGCCGCCAGAGCTGGAGTCGGGAGTGTCGGCTATCAACTTCAGGTGCCTGAAACACAAGCGTCTTCACCACCAGGCCAGAATCTGTTCCTGGTGCTCGTGGGCCCTTGTTCTCTGTACTCGGAGACCCCAGGCCAGAGGGTCCTTGAGGTGGGGGCCATGAGGGAGGCTACCAAATGGGAGACACACCCTCCTCCCTCCTAGCAAGAAACCACCTGCTGAAAGTCTGATACACAATCAGGGGAGGACTAGGGTAACTGCTATTTCTGAACATGGAAACCAAACAGCCAGTGAGTGGCAGCTCCTATGGGAGTCCGGGCTGTGTAACGGCAAGCTGGAGGGCCCAGACACAGCCTGCTTGATGGAGGTGCACTCAGGCACAGGTGGGGCAGGTGGGGCAGCCCCAGGCAGCTCTGCCAGGCACCTCGGGGGATAAAAGCCAAACCTCAGTGCCTTGGGAGCCATCACTCACCACCCAGGCTCCCGCAAGACCCCTCTCTGGAAGCAGCCAGCTGCGCCCCAGAGCCTGTCTCCTCACTCCCAGAGTTCTCAGCTTGGATGCTGCCTCCTCTGCAAAGTCCTCCTGGATAGCCCACCCAACTAGACTACTCAGCTTCTCTCAGAACCCAGGGACACCTCCTGGGCTGTACCTGTGTCCCTGGGGCAGGGGGTCAGCCACGCAGGGCAGGGCTGTGGGTGAGTTGGTGTGAGTTGACGCAGCATCACAGGGCTCCCACGGCCTAGGCCAAGGCCTGAGCAGATGCAAGGCTACAGCCATGATGAACATACAGGTGCCACAGGTGCAGGCTCCCGTCCAGCCTGGCCCCACGCAACCAGTCTCTTCTGGGCAGAGATGATGTCTGGCCAAGGCTGGGCTTTGATCTTGCTGGCCAGGCCTGGCTGAGCGGTGCCTAGTAGTGCAGTGTTATGAGTGTAGGGCGATGAGACAGGGACCCCGTGCTCCACAAGACCTGCTCCTGTGTCCTTCATCGAATGATGAAAAAGAAGGCCTGGGGAGATTAGCTCATTTGCCAAAAGCCACACAGCCGGGGCAGCTGTGCACGGACAAGAGCCCAGGTGTGGCTTGGAGGTGACGCGTGGTCTCCCACTGCCAAGTGGCATGGCCACGGCCTGCCCACACACCTGGCAGGGCTTGGAGTGTTTTTCTCTCCCTACCCCTGCCTCTCTACACCAGTTGCTCCCAGCAGCAGCTGCTCCGGCCTCATTCCGAGTCCCCAGGGACTTCAGCTCAGAAACGGTGTCACAGCCAAGCCCAGGAAAATGGATTCTCTCAGCTTTGCCAGCAAGGAGGGCTCCGGGCCCCTTAGGACACCTGAGCTGATGTTACGGCCCCGCCTCAAGGCCAGGACTTTCCCATACTCTCCTCCTCCACCCCCACCCCGCCACCACTGGGACACAGGGGGCCTGGGGCAAAGCCCTATCCCCCAAGGGTGGCCATGGGGACACAACAGCATCTGCTGACTGGTGGCTGCACATGGGCTGACACAATGACACTTATGAGAGCGCTGTCCACGTCCTGGTGACCGTACCTGTGATCCGGCAGAGGATGGCCCGAGCACTGGCACCCCAGCACCCACTTGAGATCCAGGAGGAGTTCCTGACCCTGCCCTGGCTTGCTGTGGAGTGAACTAGCAGGTGGAATGTCTCTCTATCTGTCACTTTACCCCTCAAATAAATAAACTATTGAGAAAAAAAGAGGGGTACACGAACTGAGCTAGCCACTATGTGGGAACGTGTTTCACCTCCACTTGGTGTGCCGATGGCTACCGCTGTGCCCACAGCAAAGAAACCTTGTAAGGCGGATCAATAAACCTAGCTATTTTCTTTCTTTTTTTTGAAAAACGCAAACTGTTTATTTCTGTAAACTGAGCACAGAGATGTTCTTCACAGCCCCAACGCAGGCCAGACCTCTTCCCCAGCAGGAGCGGAGCAGGGGAGACGAAGGAGGGGGGAGCGCTGGGAAACGGGCTCCGCGGGCACCATGCCCACCGCGCCATTCTATAACGGTAGAGCGACCTTGGGACTTTGGGGTGCAGACCCCAGGTTGAAACCCCAGATTTCCTAGCCGCTGTGGGGGCTGGAGCTGCCACTCCCCAAACACAGTGAGGGGGCCAGCCCCATAGTGTTAAGCCCGACCTTTGGACAGTATGGGGTAAGCTCTTGGTTCTGCTGGGGTTCCCAACCCTCACCTGAAGCCTTTGTCCCTGGGGTCCTGGGAGTCCCCAAAAGTGAACCCTGAAACGCTCCCCAGGTCAGACCTGGACTCGGCCTCTGTCCCTGCTTGTGCCATGATGAGATTTCAGGGAAAGAATGGGAATGGGTGGCTTCAGACCACATGACCAAGCCACTGCCAGGCAGGGTTTAAGGCAAATTTTCTCGCTTGCTTCGGGCTGGGCAGGACCAAACTTCTCACCACCTAGCGCAGAGCATAGGCAACTTGGAACGAAGCAGAGCCGAGGACCCAGGAGTGAATTCCAAGGGGTCTGGGTGTGACTCGTGGGACACGTGTGTGTGCTGGCGAAGGCTGCGGGAGGTGGGCACAGGCCCTGGCACAGTGGCCCCCAGGGCCAAGGACAACCAGGCTGGCGACACTGGCCCGGGCTCAGGAGCAGTGTGCTGGTGGTGGTGTTGGGGCTGCTTGGGCCTCACACGGAGCACCCTCACAGTGGATGAGGGGCACAACCTTGACGTTAAAATGATTTTTCTTCAGGACCAACAGAAGAAAGAGGGGGAAGAAAAGGAGGTTGAAGGAAGCTGGGGCATGAGCTCATGAGATGGGGCATGGCGGGCACAGCAGGACATGGGAGGTGGGCAGGGTAGGCAGGGCAGTGGGGGGCAGACGCCGGGGCTGGGCACTGCCTCTCCTTGCATCTCTTCTCCCTGGTGGGCAGGCGGGCTGGGAGCCGAGACCGGCGGTCCCCAGGCCCTGGGAGCAGGAGGTGGCGCGGGCGAGGGGCATGGGAGGGCAGGGCTACTCCGTCTGGGCGTCATAGTTGGCGCCCCCAGCCTTCTTGAGCTCGCTCTTGATAAAATCCTCCTCCAGCTCCTTCCGGTCGCTGATCACAAACTCTTTTGCGAAATTCTGCAAGAACAGTGAAAACACATAGATCCCAGTTAACCAGGAGGCGGCACGAGACCTCTGGGTGCCCAGTCCATGTGCCAGGTGGTCCCCAGCACCTGAAGCTTCAGAAACTCCAGAGTGAAGAGAAAGCACAGCTGGTGGCAGGGAACCCGAGATGGAGAGGCAGTCACTGGACCTTGCTGGCATTCAGTCAATAAACACCAAGGCCAGGCTATGGGGCACAGAGACGGACACGGCAGTCACTGCCTGATCCTGGGGTCCCTGGGTGGCAAGCACATCGTCCTCAGATCAGGGACATGAGGGCCTCAGTACGTGCTGGCAGTGGAAATGGAGGAAGCAGGTGAGCTGGCTTATCAAAGAACCCTAAGCCCTGGAGATAAACGGGCATTTACAATGGGCTCC